GCGGGGCGGGGCGGGGCGGGGCTGACTTGCCTTGAAGTAGGCGAACTGCAGGAACTTGTAGGGCTCCCGGCGCTGGAAGTCCGCCAGCACCTCGCGGCTGGGCTGCGACTGGCGGAAGGCTGGCAGGCCCTGCTTGCAGCGCTTGAGACAGTGCGCGCGGCGCAGCAGGCCCCCGAAGAGGCGCAGCTCCGCGTAGCGGGCGAGGCCCGCGGCGGGCTCGGGCTGGGGCCCCGTGCTGCAGTTGCGGTGGCAGAAGGCCTCGCTGTCGCGCAGCAGGCGGTGCAGCCTCAGGCTGATCTCCAGGTAACCCACGCTCTCGGCCCAGTGCTCGCCGCTGTACTGATCCAGCGCGTGCCGGTAGGCCGACTCCAGCGGCATCAGCTCGTCCCGCGGGAAGCTGCGGAAGCTGTAGCGCTCGTACTGGGCGCGCCCGGCGCGCAGCGCACAGCCCGCGCACAGCAGCGCCAGCAGGGCTGCGGCCGCCCGCCGCCCCGGCTCCATCGCGCCCGGCGGAAGGAAGGAAGGAAGGAAGGGAGCGAGGAAAGGACGGAGAGGAGGACGGCGCGACGCGGCAGGCAGAATGCTTGAGAGGCGGAGACGCCAACCTCCGGCCCGCCCCGTCCGGCAGCCCCACCCGACCTAGCTGGGGGATCCCGGCGCCAGCTGCCAGCGCGGAAAGGGTGCCCTGGGGAAGGCGCGCTGCCCGCTCGTTCCCGCACAGTCTAATGCGTGTTCCCGGGCTCTGCTGTTCATTCGCTCAGAGACTGCGGTCTGCAAGCCAGACGCGGCCCTAATGGGTCATAGAGTAGCGGTACTTCAACTTCGTAGTCACTTGGAGGACTTGTGAAAACGCAGATTCCTGGGCCGCGACCCCAGAGTTTCTGAATCAGCAAGTCTGGGGAGGGGGTCTGAGGATTTGCATTTCTAACCAGGATCCTGGTGAGGCTGACGCTGCAGGTCCTCGGACTGCACTTTGAATAGCACTGCCAGTGCATAAATAAAATAAGGATGTCAGTGGCACTTTGTAAACTGTGTAGCTGGTCAAGTTGAAGATGCTCACACCTTGTGACTGCGACTCCACTCTTAAGAATATGCTCTAGAGGGCCGACGGCCCTACCAGCCTCACTCCTTTCAAGCCTGTGCCTCTTCTTCCTGCCCAACGCCAGGAGTTCTCAACTCGAGGGCGATTGTGCCATCCTCCCACGCCCACATCCGTGGATACCTGGCAATGTCTGGGACATTTATGATTATCACAACTGGGGAACGCTACTAGCATCTGGTGGGTAGAGGCTGGGGTGCTGCTGAATATCCGGAGGTGCACAGGAGCTTCCTGGTCACACATGTCAACAGCAGGGAGGCTGAGAGACTCAGCCCAAGGCCCAGAGGCAAGTAGACAAGAGGGCAGGCATCATTCCTTCTTCCCAGCCCTTAAAGCATTTGCTGCATCTTTCCTTGTGGCAAAAGTTGCACTCATTTTGAGGGAGATAAAAAGAAATTTCATTAACTTTAAAGAGGGAATAGAGTATAGTGTGTAACAGCACTGGCTCAAGAGCCAGATTTCCTGGTTCCAACCCCAGCTCCATCACTTAGGAGCTGTGTGAACTTGGGCAAGTTCCATATCCTCTTTGGGAATCAGTTATAAGACACCCCAAATAACGTACCTACATAAAAGAAAAAATAATAATAATAATTTTATATATATATATATATATATATATATATATATATAATCAAAAGATAGGGATGGGATGTTAAAAGCAGCACTTTTTAAAAAATCTTTAAACTTATTCTTTTGAAGTAATGTACAGGAAAGTTGCAAGGATAGTACAAAGAACTCCTGTTTACCCTCCATCAAGATGCAGAAGTTATTTCCTTACTCTTTTTATATCTCTTTACGTTTTTTTTTTTTTTTTTGAGTCATTCAAATGTAGGTTGCATACATCACGCCCACTTGCCCCTTAAACTTTCAGTGTGAATGTACTTCAAGAAGCTCATGGAAAAACTCATATTATCTTTTCATTCCATTTTCCACTAATTTTCTGAAGTACCCTCCTTCCTATGTGTGTCCAAAGAATGAAACTACAATGATCAAATTCAGGAAATTTAACTCTGATAGACTTTAATCTATGTTCCCTATTCCAGTTTTGTCAACTGTTGCCTTTCAGACCAGTTTTGTCAACCAATGTCTTTCATGGCCTTTTTTTTTCCCGGACAGGATGCAGTTTAGGATCACATATTGCATCTATTTGTCACCTCTATTTCATATCCTCTAATCTAGACTGGTTCCTCAGCTTTTCTTGTCATGCTATTGGCAATTTGAAGAATATAGGCCAGAACAGCACCATTACACCTGTATTAGAATGGCCAAAATCCAAAACACTGACAACATCAAATGCTGGCAAGGATGTGGAGCAACAGGAACTCTTCATTGCTGGTGGAAATGCAAAGTTGGACAGCCACTTTGGAAGACAGTTTGGCAGTTTCTTAGAAAACTAAATGCACTCCTGCCATATGATCTGGCAATGGCGCTCCTTGGTATCTAACCAAATGAGTTAAAACTATGCACGCAAAAAACTGTAAATGGATGTTTATAGCAGATTTATTCATAATTGCCAAAACTTGGAAGCAGCACAATGTCCTTCAGTAGATAAATTGGTAAATAAGTTGTGGTATATCCAGGCAGTACTAAAAGTGTTATATTTATTCAGCACTAAAAAGAAATGAGCTATCAAACCATGAAATGATATAGAGGAAACTTAAATGTATATTACCAAGTGAAAGAAGCCAGTCTAAAAAAGCTACATACTGTATGATTCCAACTATATGACATTCTGGAAAAGGCAAAACTATGGAGACAGTAAGAAGATCAGTGGTTGCCAGGGGTTATGGAAAGGGAAAGATGAATAGGTGGAGCACACAGGATTTTTGGAGCAGTAATACCATTCTGTATGATACTGTAATGGTGGGTATATGTCACACATTTGTCAATACCCATAGAATGTACAATACCAAGAGGGAGCCCTGATGTAAACTATGGACTTTGAGTGATAATGATGCATCGATGTAGATTCATGCATTGTAACCAATGTACCACTTTGGTACAGATGTTGATGGTGGGGGAAGTTGTGCACGTGTGGGCAAAGGGGGTGGGTATACGAGAACTCTGCACTTCCTGCTCAGTTCTGCTGTGAAACTAAAACTGCTCTAAAAAATAAAGTCTTCATTTTTTTAAAAGAATACAGATCAGTTATTTTATGAGTCCTCATTTGGGGTTTCTCTGATGTGTCCTTGTGACTAGATTCAGAGTGAGCTCTTTTGGCTAGAATACCACAGAAGCAATGTTGCTTCCTTCTCAGATGTCACGTCTAAGAAACACAATATCTGTCCCTTATCTGTGATGTTAATTTTGAAAACTTTGTTAAACACTTGTCCATTTTCTCCACTTCAGTTTTTTCTTTTGTAATTAACAAGTGTTTATGGTAAGATACAGAAGCACTGTTCTCAATAGCAGAAAGTAGAAATAACCTGTCCATAAACAGAAGAGTGGATTTTAAAAAAAAGAATGAGAGTATATGCACACAGAAGAGTATTTTAAAGCAGGGGAAAATGAAAGAATTACAGCTACACATAACATAGTTCAATCTAAGAGGAAAAAAACCGTAGAGAATAATTTTATTTGTCCAAAGTTTAAAATATGGAAAAGTGTACAATATATTATTTAGAAATACAAATAATATAGTTTTACATCATACAAACACACAGGGTAAAAATATAATAATGAAAAGGGAATGATAAACAGAAACTTTGGATAGTTTCCTGTAAGGTGGGAGGAAGGACATGGAATTGGGAGAGGGTCAGATGCTGGTGAGTGGATGGAGAGTGAGTAAGAGGATGTTCATTGCATCATTGTTTTTTGTGCCATACATATATTTATACATATATTTTGTAAATCTTTTATGTTTTAAAATGTATTTTTATGTTATGTTTTTAATATATTTAAACATATATAACAAGAATTTCTATTTTAAGCATTTTTAAATATACAATTGTGTGGAATTAATGACATTCACAATGCTGTGTCACCACTACCTCTATTTCCAAAACTTTTTCATCATCCTAAACCCTAAACATAAACTCTGTGCTGATTAGCAATTTCTGAGTAGCCCCCTGCCCCCCATTTCTGGTAACCTCTAATCTATGTCTGTCTCTGAAATTACTTTTTTTCTTTTTAATTTATTTTTTTCTTAATTGGGCCATAATTGTATATGTTTATGGAGCACAATGTGATATTTGGGTACACTATCTTGAGTGCAATGATCATTTACATTGATCATTGTTTAGCATATCCATCACCTCAAAAATTTGTCACCTCTTTGTTTTGGGAACATTCAACATCCACTCAACTATTTTATGTTTTTATGTTGTTATTTTTAAAATAATTTTTGGAAAAGGAAAATATTGCAGTAGTGATATGAAGAAAACAAAACAAGAGGATGGGATGGGATGGGGGAAGATTGCAGAGGCAACATTTGAACAGAGACATGAAGCAGGGAGAAGGAGCCTCTGGAGAGAGATGAACTGGGAGGTTGTGTAGAATGTGTACCTGGTCCCCTGCGAATCCACAGTGACCCTCTGGTTTGGAGCCTGAGATCCTTAACGTGTGGATAACATGAAAAAGATCAGTACCCCATTTCAAACAAGACACAGAAAGGGAAATGTCCAATAAACAAAAAGTTCAACCCCACTAGCAAAGAGATACAATGTAGAATCATCTTACACAACTGTTCAATTGAACAAGATATTAAGCTCTGGCCACAGCTTCCTTCTCTGTCTTGTACTTGCTTTGCCAGCTCCTGCCCAAAAGCCTTTACTGTTATTTTAGATTCCACTTCAGATGTTACTTCCCCGGGGATACCTTTCTTTCTTCTTCATCCTCTCAGCTAGATCAAATCAGAATCTCAGAGACTTGTAGTGACAACTTCAGGTCAAAATGTATCAAATTGCACACTTGTCATATGTGCAGTTTATTGTATGTCAATCATGCTTCAATAAAGCTGCTCAAAAAAAAGACACACAATATTAAAAAATAAAAAGAAAGAAAACAATCTCACAGACCCATGTACCTCTCACTCTCATTTGTAACACCTATCACAGTTGCAACTTTATTTACTTTTGTGATTATTTGATTGATTTCTCTCACCTTGTAAGACTGTAAGCTTCATCAAATAGGTCTGTACCTGTTTTTACCTACCACTGTATTCTCAGCACCTTATAGAGGGCTTGGAACATAGTAGCTGCTCAAGAAATACTTGTAGAATGCATTACATATCTGTCAGACTGTCAAGTCTCTTGTTTATCATCAAGATATTCCTCTTGGATTTGAGCATCACATATTGCACACAGGTATTAATATTCAATTCTGTACCCCCCACAAATACATACAATCAATTATGTTTCAATAAAATAAAATAAAATATGATATTTCTCTCAGGCCAGTCCAAGTGCAATGGTGTTTACAACTAATTGATCACAACCAGTTACAGATTTCTGTATTTCTTCTCCACTCCCAGTGCTACACTTAACTAGCGTTAAAAAATAAATAAGTAAAATATTTCTCTCAAACTCATCATGCAGAAGCTTATTGATCAATCTCCTCTATGTTCAAAGCATTATTTGTAATCCAGTATGATTAATAAAAATGAATAGGTGATGGTAAAAAAGGAACTTGAGGAGATTTTTTAAAAAGATGAATAAGTAAAACAGCATAAACCTAGAAAGGGAGATAAGATATCTATTCAAACAACTCATAATTTGTTAACTCTCTTCTGGAATTTCAACACAAAGTGGAAAGCCAGTTTAAGATACACACAGAGAATGATTGCCTCTATGAAAATAAACTCATCTAAGAGATAGAATGAGCTGAAATTTTGGTTGTGGTTAATTGCAAGAGTACTTCAAATTCCTGCCTTCTCTACATTCATGGCCCTTTGCAATTTTTTCTTTTCTTTTTTGGTGGCTGGCAGTTAAGGGGATCAGTGAGCCTTTGACCTCGGTGTTATCAGCATTGTCCTGTAACCC